CTTTACACTCTACACTTTACACTTCACACTTTACACTCCACACTCCACACTTTACACTCCTCACTCCACACTTTACACTCGACACTTTAGACTCCTCGCTCCACACTCCACACTTTACACTCCACACTCCACACTTTACACGCCACACTTCACACTCCACACTTTCCACTCCACACTCCACACTTTACACTCCACACTCCACACTTTACACTCCTCACTCCACACTTTACACTCCACACTTTACACTCCACACTCCACACTTTACACTCCACACTTTACACTCCACACTCTACGCTTTACACTCTACACTATACACTCTACACTCCACACTTTACACTTTACACTCCACGCTTTCCACTTTACACTCCTCACTCCACACTTTACACTCCACACTTTACACTCCACACTCTACACTTTACACTCCATACTCCACACTCTACACTTTATACTCCGCATTCTACACTTTACACACTCTACACTCCCCACTCCACACTTTACACTCCACACTCCTGACTTCACACTCCACACTCCACACTCTACACTTTCCACCCCACGCTGCAGACTGGTAACAAGGGAAACATGTACAAGACTGTTCAAATATAAACTATTGCAGAAGGTATTGTGCATGACTGCATAACCATGTGTTTTGACATCTGTACCATTAACATACGTGTGAGCATTCGGGTTCGTGGGCTTCATCTTGTTTTTTAATCTGTATAATACATACAATGTGGGGCCAGAGAAGGATAGCTAAGTTGCTGAGCATAACTCCAATAACTATGGCTTATAGTACTTATAACATCTAGATCTGATAATTTTATTTAATGGGGTTTATAAAACAACTTATAACTGGGGGGCCGACATTGATACGAATGGGTTTACATAATGTAATCAGTATAATTCAATGAACTAAAACATGTCATTCTAATTTATCTGGATATCATGTGGGAATCATGGGGATATTATATATCAATATTTGCATATAATATTGTCATTAATACATGATATGTATATATATATGTGTACACACCAGGAAAAAAACAAACGATCTCTATTTTGGATGCTTGATCCGCAATTTAGTGGCCTAAAACCTCCAAAACGAGGGTCTTTGGGCTCAGCATATGTATATACATAGATATATATATATATATATAGTGTGTGTGTGTGCATTTCAAAACACATGGAGTTATAATATGTTATAATGCATGTAACTATATGTTATAACTGTATGTATAACTCTATATGTGGAATGTGTGTTTATGTGGGTAGGTCAATCAAATACAAATGGCAATATCTGTAAATAACAACATGATACACTTCAACAACAAACATTATATATATAATTATACAGTATATATATATGCTGGACGTGTGTAGATCAAACAAGTACAAATATGGAAAACATTTGAAATGTACTGCAGGTAAAAAGATATATGGAAGACAAACATGGGGACACTCATGGAATCTTCCATATGTTGATAAACTGCACGTAAGCAACTTCTTACTTTGATACTTTATAAACTATGATTAAATCTACAGAGAGACAACAAAAATAAATACAGTACATAAGACTATACAGACTCTTGAGATCTCTTGAGTCAATCGAGATGTGATTTCTTGTGGCATTAGGTAGTTCCTTTCTATCCTCGGCAACTTTTCACCACATCCCATCACCCAATAACCAGGCGCGGATCACACATGAGTTCTTCAAAGTTTCGATGGAAACGCTGTAATCGTCCTGTTTCCAATCGCGAGAGCCACGGAAAATCGTCATTTTTAGATGGTCTGCTGATCCATGAAAATTGTGATTTTCAATAGTTATGTTGAATCACCAATGAGGGTAAATGGGTTGGGTCATGTTCCGAATAGGTGTTAGCAAATGTGCCGTCCATGCGCCAAATAGGATTGGCAAAGCTGGCTCACAGTCGACGAATAAACTGAGAAGAACACAACACAATCAAAAAGGTCATACTGTTACAGAGTCATCCATCAACCTATATCAAACTGATTCTGTCAACCCATTCCAAAAAATCAGAAAGTCATCATGGTGTCATCATCCAATTTCCATCCATTTCTCTGGTTTTTCACATTTTTTCACCTGAAAAACCCCAGCGTTTCGGCCCGGCCACGGCATCGCACCCGTCCTCCGGGGCCAGCGGGGGCTCCGCTTCGTGGCAAACGGCCTCCACGTTGCAGATGTGAATCACGGCATCCGCGTCGAAGGCCAAATGCGGCATGTACTCCATGACCTGTGCGGAACCAGCACCGAAAACGGGGGGTGCGAATGTCTTTAGAAAACACACACACAGATATATATATATATGTATATATATATGGTATCATATTATGATATTATATGGTATAATATGATATCTAGGTATACCCTCTGGTTATGACATTGCCAGGGCTAGCCATGGTATATATAGATGGCCCATTGAAATAGATGGGCCATACCGAACTTAAAAATGGTGGATCTTTCCATGGCTATGTTAAATAACCAGATGATAAATGGCTTCAAAAAAAACGGTGATATTCATTATTTATGGATTATAAGCAATTTATTAAGTGGGATGTACATCCACAGAATTTCCCAGAATGATACCCCATGGTAAATTAACAGTTCGACCTTGAAAATCACCAATTTTGAGATATTTTGAGTATATATATATATATAACTAATCTTACAACCCCTATCCAGCAGGGTCTATGTTCGTTGGAGGGATCTGGAGGGCATCTTGATAAGAATTCTAACAGGACTGTGCGAAGCCAGACCGAAGATGTGGTCAGGTTCTTTGGATCTTCAAATGCATTCAAATGTTGCTAGTGTGGCAAAAAATGCCTTCAAAAACCCAAGAAAACTCTGGATATCATACGATTTTTTGATTGGGGAGGGGGGTAAACATCACCACAGAGCCAGCGAGCCCCCGCCTTTAGTACTATCTGCTGCTCAAAGGCAGGTAAAGACCTCATTGGCTCGGCAGTTTTGTGACAGGACAGTATGATTATTTAAAATCGAGATAGAGGAATTTCCGGAGTTTCCTGCTAACCTTTGGGTTGGTTAATGATCATACATGGGGAATATCCATCATTGTGGCCATTGAAAATGGGGGGAAATTATCAACGACGGCATTGCGGGGCTTGCACAAGGCCAACCCTCCAGCCGGGGAGGTATAGACTTCACATGGCACCTGTGACTTGAAACTGCTATCCAGACCTCATCTGTCTTGTGGCTCCATTCCAAAATGTCATGATTTCTCATATGCATCATCTTCCCATAGAGGGTGCAGTTGTAAGTTAAAAGTTATAAGTGTGTATGTCAGCATAGTTTTAAGGGTTATATCCCAACTTCCGAGGGTTGTTACCATGGCTATATCAGTTGTATCCATAATAATTAAGCCTAACTGCACCCCCAAGCACTGGTATATTAACCTCAGCCTAGCAACGCATGTCCTGCGTGGGCTTGCGGTATACAAAGATAGTCACAAAAGACCAGCATTCGACCTGCAAATGCTGCGCGTTCTTCTGGGAAACTTGTGGAATTGTCGTCTTGTTGTTGTTTCCTTTACTCGGAGTCTGGTTGCAGGTGTTTTTTGCAAAAAGGCCGATCTCTGTCACTGAAATAGCGATAAACCACTGGTTTGTATAATATACAGCAATTCATAAATCATCATAAATCCACATTCCTGAACCAAGGTGTTTGTTTGGCGTTTGTCACGTGTCGCGATCGGGATGAATTAATAACAATTCAACCTTAGCAGCTTAGCCATGGTCAACCAAACACAGGGTAGGTTCTGTCAACTGCACTTTGTGAGTTGGAACATGTTGTACCCTCTGGTAATTTCTTACATAGCTATGGAAAATGGCCATAGAAATAGTTGATTTAAGTTGATTTACCCATTAAAAATGGTGGTTTTGCCATAGTTTTCTGTATGTTTACCAGATGGCATATTTCATATATCAATATCATCTAATGCCATTAAAACATATGGATACCCATATCAATATCATATCCTGTTTATCAGATGGAATATTTCTGTGATGGTCAACCCCTAATCTATGGAACAATAAAAGCCATGTTCCAAACCACCAACCAGCGTTGTACATAGATGGCCTCCGGTGCGCAGGATCATGGCCTCAGCAGATCTATCTTGGCAGTGGCAAAAGCTATCACCGTAGTAACCAAACAATAGCTGCTTGGTGGTGCAATAACCATGGTTAATAGTGATTAATTAATAGTGATTAATAGTGATGAATAGTGGTTTTAACCATGGTTATCAGTGATTAATACCTGATCTAATGAATAATATAGCTGGTTGGTGGTGCAATAACCATCCTGAAAAATATAAAAGTCAATGGGAAGGATTATCCCATATGGAAAACAAACAATGTTTGAAACCACCAACCAGATAGGGGTTTCATCAGATGCTGCATTTATTCATTTATTGCGGTGATGTAAGGTGACCGTTAGGGAAAACCATGCAAAAAAAAAATCCATGCTCCAAACAGCTGAAATCTTCAGGCAGGTGTTAAGGAAAAAAGCTAGCCACAAGTCTAAATCCGAACCAATATCAACATACTATTTATGTCAACCATGTAGGGCATACCTACATACAATGCAGAAGTGCAAGCATATGCTAGCTCAGTCATGAATAAGATACTTTAGATGTATCATCTGGGAAATGCCCCAAACAGGAACTCAGATTGAAGAACTAGCAACCCTTGAATCCATCTTGCAACACCCAGTTGGATATAGTAATATCCCAACCAGCCATGTGGATACCCATTGCAGACGTTTTTAGGCCAGGATTTTCCTGAGAATGATGGTTTCATCACAGGGGTCCCCAAGCGTCAACCTAGACACAGTCCCCATAATTATTCACAAATCACCACCTTCATCTGAACTATTCTGAAACTAATTGTTCTTTGGCATATAGCTTTCCCAAAATCAAGCATCACCGTCAACGGGACACTTCCAAATCTTCCACACCGGTGGCAGGTCCTTTTTCTGCGGTCAAAACATAAAGTTCAGCTTCTCAAACAGCGATCGCGCACGCTTCTTGGGACACTCGAAGACTAAGTCACCTCCGATCCGCGGGTTGACTTCGAAAATACCTGCAGGGCGCCATGGCGAAAAAGCGGGACGTTTGAATGACGTGCCTGGGAAAGAATATCAAGTCTCAAGGGCCAAAGCAACATGTAGAAATGACGTGACATGAATCACTCAAGTGTAGGAATAACTTAATAGATACTAATGCGTGCATGCGCATGCATGCATGAACATCATTGACTATCAGAATAGATCTATCAAAATCTATATCAAACAACAGAAATTGTCAGGATTCTTGAACCCCTTTTCCCGTCACCGAGCCGCAAATCGTCCCATCTCTTCTCAGCTTGTAGCCCAGGCAGCAAATGCCGCTAAACTCCGACAACAGCACTCTCATCACATCCAAATGGGCTTCTGGAACGCTGACATATTCATGGCGCACCTCGTCAACAAAAGGCCACACATACTCTTCTCCATCATACTCATACCTTGGGCTTGTCAACCGGGGCAGCGTGTGTGTGTCTGTGTGTGAAGTGGATTACATCATTCCAAATCATTCTGGGTGAAGACGTCCCAAAACACTGGGGCCCCATCATACCCCATCCATCCGGGTCATCCGGGTCGCAAGGTGTTCACATAATCCACCACTTCACCCTTGAGCACTAGCAATGTCGTTGAGTATTCCAAGCGTCCGGGCACCAGTTCTTGCAAGACCCACTTCGAAGCCACACCTTGACCGCCCGTAAAGCGTTCCACTTCCTCGATGGAGTGCACCACGTGGGTGTCTTTTCCAAAGGTTCCCAGTTTAGGTTTCAGAATGCAGGGATACTCCGCCTCCAAAGCACTCAAATAGGACTTGGGAGTGAACTCTCCGATGCCTTTGTCAACGGCATACCTGGGTTGCTACAACAACCCTGAAAAATGCGTAGGCTGAGACGAGATCATCAACAACTTTGAAGCCGCCCAACCGATCTACCTGAAACATTGCCAAATTTGGCATCAAAACAAGTACCTGTTGCCCTTCAGGGGGTCAGTTGTTGCAAACCTTCCCGATGCGGGGTTCAGTTTGAGTTGGCTTTGCCAGTCGCTAGTCCACTCAGCGCTGAATTGGATGGTTAAATCATGTTAAATCATAAAAAATGACAACAATAATGGTTCCCAGGGCCTTTTGACTCATATCCGAATTATCACCAATTATTGCATTGAAAAAAACCAGAGGTGTTGGAATACAACATATCTGAGGCTTCAGGTAGTTTAAACCGCTTTCTGTTTCATTTCATGATTTATCCCCCATCCGTTTAGTCATCCTCCCCAACGGGGTTGAAAGTAAACATATTCGAAACCACCAACCAGACCCCTCGTTGACAATGATGATGTGGTAAACCCATATCAAAAAAAAACAACACAAACGCATTTAAGATTGTTTTTTTACATGTTTTTACATGTTTTGCCACCCACTGTTTTGATCTATTTTGGTGATAGGTGCCATTTTTGGGTCCCAAAAAATCTCCCGTTTCGCCGTTTCGCCCAGCGGCCGCAGCATTCCCGCCTTGTCGCGCAGCGTCTCGACCACCCGGGGCTCCACGTTCACCACGCGCCACCCAGCGTGCCGGAGCTCCGCCTGCCGCTCCGCCAGGCGTACGGCCACCGTGTCTTGGCTCGGTAGGAGCCAACTGCCAGCAACGGAGCAGTGGGGAATGGCGCCATCACCTAGCGGAAGGGATGGTCTTCAACATGTTCCCATGGGTTTTTTTAGTCGAAATCTTGGGAAATTCGATTGTGGGGGCTTTACCATCTGCTGAAAGTTTCAGTTTTAGGGGATTTCTATACTGTAGGTGGAACCCCCCCCAAAAAAAAAAGGTTAGAAAACCGTCTGAATCCCGCAAGTGTATAGATCCTGAAATTGATCAAGGGCTCCCAAATGTGGGCCATATGTACTGTTGCATGTGACCTTGCTCAATCAAATGGAACCATTGAAGCAGGGCGATTATGATTTACCAACTTTAGATCTTGCAAACAAATCACACCATATCACACCATCCAAATATGGAGGTACGGTAACCCACCTTGCCAGTCAATCTCATTGCGGACCCCACAGCCATACTGTTTCATTTCGCGGGTCCATTTCAGCATCGGAGTGGTGTGAAAACGTTTGGCCTGGGCTCTGAGCTGGGAAAAAAAAGTCATGCAAGAAGTGGGTTTGTCCAAACGTGGGGCATACCCCTAATTCTCTGAAATTGCGATTGAAGATGTTAAAGTTTATATGTTTATAACATACCCCACGTTCAGGTTGAGCTCATGGATGGTGTTCAACATATCCCGAGAATAGTTGTTCAAAAAGAGACAAACTTGAAAGTTTGGAAAGCGGTTCTTAGTTCTTTCGTATGCTGTTACCAACCTCCCCTTCGTGAAAGGCTGGGATGGCCTCCCTTGGCCTCTCTTTCTCCACATTGCCAACTGGACGGCCACGAAATTTGCATGCAGCTGTCAATCTTACTACTGAATGGTTGTGAAACCATGCCTGGTTCATCCCATGCTTGCCAAATAAAACTTGGAACTACGTTAACTACGTGGAACCACCCCTTCAGAATCCTTCAGAATCCTTCAGAATCCTTCAGAATCCTTCAGAATCCTTCAGAACTCAACGAAAAAATCCGGCTGGGGCTTCTGCCGAGTTGCAGTGGGTGCAGGCCCCCAATTTCTCAGCTCCTGCAGCAGTTTCGTGCTTTGATCTTTGGCCTCCCGGCAGGCGCGGATGACATGGCTGTAGCACTCCACGTCGGGCTCCACCTCTTTGGCCCAGGCGTCGTTCAGCAAATCCAGGGCTTGCTCCCAGGCACCAGCTCTTCTACAAGCGCAAATGCAGGCGAAATAACCTGAGACAGGTGAGGTGAGGCCATGATTGAAATCTTGAAATCCACATAGAAGTTGAAATTATAGTTTGGTTTGGTGCACTCTGACAATTCGCCAATGCAATCCAGATCTACTTGAAACGTGGGATCAACAGACTTCATTGTTCAGGGAGGATTGGTTCAATATATCCACCCACACCTAAAACCACGCCCGTTTTTGTCCAATCATTCAGGCTCCTGGACCATTGGATGCTGCTAGTTTTGGACTGGCACTTTGGGTTCCTAAGATTTTCAGAACAGATCTGATCACTGAGAGATAGTGAGAGATTCCCCGGGCCCACCGGGCCCGGCCATTTTTTGCACCAGGTCACTGGTTACATCTGGCGTCACCCCCAAGGATCGCATGTCCTGCAGGGTCTCCAGGGCACCCTCCCAGTCCGCCTGCCAGGCGCTATCTGCCAGCATCTCATTGTAGCTACGCCTGGGCTCCCAGCGACCCCAGCAACACCAAAACCATAAAAATGGCGCGAAACTATATCCAACTATATCTAACTGGGTCTAACTCCTTATTTTGTACCACATCAAACCAAAATATCCAAAATGGTGAAACACATACAGATGAAAATATAGAACTATGAAAACAACTATGAATCATACAGATGGTCATATTTCCATACATGTAGAACACCATAGAACACCTACAACTATGAAAGAAGAATCATGTGCTGCGATCAGTTCATGCCCTTCGGTAGCACCAAGGATCACTTCTAGCAGAGCGCTGGACACATTGGGATCATGTTCACTCATGCCGAGTAGTGGAAACCACGAAGAACACACCAAAAAAACACAAGAAAAAACATTATCCATACATTCAATTCAAAATCACAAAGACAAACTGAATCTGAAACAATCTGAATAATCTGAATCCAACAAAAACGAAGAGCAGGTATTAGAAGCTCCAAGTCTCACATAGGCAGCTGCATCCAGAAACTCTTCTGGCTGCTGATCTCCAGCTGGAGGCAGCGGCGGCCCAAAGGCACAGCGCGGCGAAAGGCGCAAAGCGCGCGAGCGCAGCAGGCCGGGAGCTGGGCTGACTCCATTGCCACGCGCGGAGGCTACGCTTGACCACATGAAACAATTAAAATGGGAGGGGGGCGGGTCCCGATGTTTTTGTTCTTGCCATCGCCATCCCGAAGGTTCAGCTAAGGCTGATGGATTTTTTGGAACATATGAGAAAAAACAAATGATCTCTACGGTGCACCCGCTGACCTCCACTTGACATTGACATTGGTAACTCGGCTCCTTGGCTCCTGAAACACATATATAATTTAAAAAAAACCTGGCAGCTCAAATCATATAGCCATGGCCCGGTATCATTTTAGATCTTCGTGTTCCAAGCTGTGTTCCAAGCATCCCCAAACAAAATTTGGCCATGAAATCGAACATAATTTGAAGTTTCCAACAGCTGCGAAGTGGCCGTCCAGAGATGTACAATGCTGGTGTCCTTGATCAGGCCATCCCGGATGGTTACTGTAGTAGCAGTGAGATGTGTCCGAATAATGTGTGCCAATGAAAATGAAGTGCAGTTCAACCACATAATATACAATATAAAACAGATATTTTTATAATGTGTATATATTAGTCCCACATAATACAATATATATATATATTATATATATAAATATAAATTATATTATATATATTATTTATATTATTATTATTATATATATATATATATTATTTATATTATTATATTTACATATATAAATATTATATACATATCATATATATTATGTTTATTTTTATTATTATACTATAGACTATATTATATTATTATGTTATATAGTACATTCCAGTTTGGCTAGGATGTGCAGGTCAATGGGCTTCCAGGATGTGACAAAACACGCACCTATTTTACTTATCAGTTCACGCGTATGTCACATATGTCAGTGAACAGGTGACAAAGTGTCAACTTAACAAAACAAGTGTGAGGTTTTTAGGATTGGAGATGATTCATGAAACTGCTTCATTCGCCCTGCTGACCATTGTATTCAAAGCAACGCCTTGAACGGTTGCGATAAATCATTGCTGTCTCACTGTCTCCAACCCATGTTTCCTGAAGGAGATTTCAAAGCCAGCAGCCCAGCCATCACTGAAAGTAGAACCATCATCATATGGTTCAAAAGGCTTATCCCTCAAGCAGCCCCGACTTCGTCCTCATGTAGCACCAGAACATGCTTCTCAGAAAGCTCAGTGTCAGTGTCCAGTGGAACGCGCTGAAATCAAAATCTAAATGCGAGATTTCTGAAACCACTCATCAATCTACATCCCAAATCCACAAGTTGCCCCGATGACATCTTACACAGTTGATTCCTTCAACCCATTCCCACAAAATAATCATTTGGCCTCATCATATTTAGAAGCCACCCGGGCAGTTTTAGTTTTAGCCTTATGGATGTATCACATAATATTGTATATATAATATGTGTAAAAACATGTATAAACATGTATAAACTATATATGCACATATAAACTATGCTATAGTAATGATATTATATATATACATATGTTAAACATGTAAATCTATACCCTCAGGTACTAGCTAGGGACCTTGGGGGTCGCACTGTAGACCCTAAACGCTGGGTCTATATACAATTGCCTGCAGTCAGTACGTAAAGATATGTAGACCTTTGGCCTGGTACAGATTTCTAGGTCTATTGTGGTTTTCTCCAGAATCAACCATGACATCACAGCAGCTCCCACATCCCAGCATTTTTTGCACGCTGAATCTTGCACCATGATATGTTTTTTGAAGCAAGGTTTTTTCATACCGTCAACTACGAGCAGGGACCCTTGAGGGTGATTCTAGAACCCCTACAGGGGTTCTACAATCATTTTCCTAGGGGGGGGGCCCCGGGGATCAACTTGATGATGTTAGAACCTTGGCAGTTTGTGTTGGGGGGGTTCTGGAATCATATCATGGGGAATCAGGAATATGATCCTAGAACCCCTTCATTTTGGAGCCTTTCTGTTGTCAAAAAACGGAGTCAACAATTGCACCTAAGCAAAACCCGCAATCTCACAAACTCAATTACCCGCCTGCTTCCTTTGCTCCCATGCTAATCCCCTTTTCCTATTTCAAACCCCCCTAATGAATAGAAATAGATCCCGGTTGTCATTTCCGGGAAATTTCAGGTTGGTCAATTTGATCTTTAATTAATCGCATTTAGAAAACATTTTTTGGGGTCAAGATCCCATTTGAGGGTTCATCTTATCATCTTAATACTAAAAACTGATTGGCTGGGACTGGTTATTACTCGCGTCCATGACATCATTTCATTTTTTGATTAGTACTTAAGGTTTCGATGTAGTTATCAGGGGAAAGCGTCGTAAGACAATGTTTGGCAATATGTCAAAAAAATGACATATAGTAGTTTTAAAGTATGTCTTAATCTGTTTTAAAAAGAACTTTCTGGCACCTGAATCAATTTGTTATTTTCCAATTCTTGTTCAAGGATTTTGCAGGATTGGGAGGTCTAAAATCATATCTATGGGCCTTTGTGACGACAAATCCACAGAATGAGTTGGGAGATATCATTTCAGAACCTTGTGTAAATCTCAACCGTTTCCGAGTAATAATTAAATATAATTAAATCAACTTGGATTCCTCATTTTGGTTCAGAGGATTTTGCAGGATTGGGGGGTCTAAAATCATATCTTTGGGCCTTTGTGAAGACAAATCCACGGAATGAGCTGGGAGATATGATTTCAGAACCTTATGCAAAGAGTGATAAATCATATTGGTTTCTTCATTTTTGTTCAGAAGGTTGTATAGGAATGGTGGGTCTAAGTTCATATCCAAGGCCCTAGTGAAGATAAATCCACAGAATGAGTTGGGAGATATAATGTCAGAACCGTGTGTAAAACTCAACTGTTTCAGAGTAGTAATTAGTTTTAGTTAAATCAAATTGAGTTCTTCATTTTGGTTCAGAGGATTTTGCAGGATTGGGGGGTCTAAAATCATATCTTTGGGCCTTTGTGAAGACAAATCCACGGAATGAGCTGGGAGATATGATTTCAGAACCTTATGCAAAATTCAACCGTTTCAGAATAATAAATCAAATTGGTTTCTTCATTTTTGTTCAGAAGGTTGTATAGGAATGGTGGGTCTAAGTTCATATCCAAGGCCCTAGTGAAGATAAATCACAGAATAAGTTGGGAGATATCATTTCAGAACCTTGTGTAAATCTCAACTGTTTCAGAGTAGTAATTAATTTTAGTTAAATCAAATTGAGTTCTTCATTTTGGTTCAGAGGATTTTGCAGGATTGGGGGGTCTAAAATCATATCTTTGGGCCTTTGCGAAGACAAATCCACGGAATGAGCTGGGAGATATGATTTCAGAACCTTATGCAAAGAGTGATAAATCATATTGGTTTCTTCATTTTTGTTCAGAAGGTTGTATAGGAATGGTGGGTCTAAGTTCATATCCAAGGCCCTAGTGAAGATAAATCCACAGAATGAGTTGGGAGATATCATGTCAGAACCGTGTGTAAAACTCAACGGTTTCCGGGTAATAAATCATATTGTTTGTACATTTTAGCTCAGAGGGTTGTACAGGAATGGCGGGTCTAAGTTCATATCTATTGGCCTGGTGAAGATAAATCCACAGAATGAGTTGGGAGATATCATTTCAGGACCTCTTGTTGCATTGGTGATTGGTACCTGGCATCCTGTTTTTTTATCTGCGTTTATGCACTTTGCATGTTTTGGTTCAGGAGGTTGCGCAGCCAAAGCGATAATTTCATATCCATGGTCCATGGCCCATGTGAACATAAACCTTCTTACACATAAAAACGACACTTTATCTTTTGGCGAACCATGTTCGGAAAAAAATAAAAGTGCCACAAATACCCGTAGAGTGCTATAAACACACGTAGAAATCCTACTCCCAAAAAATTGCACATTTTCCAATGACAAGAGTTCCGGGCACTTTGGACAGTGCCCAAAACGATGGGCACCAGGCTTTCCAGGTAACTACTTCCACATGATCCATAGATATCTGAAGTGGTCGGAAACAGCAAATTACAACATCAAAAAAAACAACTCTAGGAACCAAAACCTCCAGGGTTCTACAATGGGGGGAGGTCAGGGTTCTACAATCATATCGCGTACCCATTCTAGAACCCTAGAATTTACCCCCAGGGGGGGTACCCATTCTAGACACTTCGTACTTGAGGGTATGTTTTTTCCCCATCATTTTTTTATCTTGCTCTCAACAAGGCTGCCACAGATGAATTTCAAAAAAACATGATTTCTGGAATCATGGTCCCAGAGAAGTGCTTGTTTTGCACCAAAGCTGCTCAAGACGAGACTCCAAAAGGTCTACAATGCTGGTAGGCCAAAAGGTCTACAATGGGGGGACTGATGTCTTTAGACCTTTGGAAAGTCACCCCTGTAGGGTCACCTATTCTAGACCCTAAGTAGTTGAGGCTATGTAAATCTTACATATACGTGTGAGTCATATATACAATATAATGTGTAACTGTATTTATATATACAAGTATATATGAATTGAAGATGTCTCTAACTTTATATGTTATATGGGATTTATATCATGTGTGTATATGATGATTCATGTTACCCTTAGAAAAATCAATATTATGGTGGTGCCTTTCAGGGTATATCTATCATCCCCACGTTGCCCAGGTTCCCATCGTTTCCAGGTTCGAAAGCTGCTGCCCGAGGTGCGGCTTTCTTCAACAAGGCGCAAATCGTCTCCACCTCGGGGGAAACTTAAAAACTGCAGAGCCCTGTAGGATTTCAGAGCAAAAACCATGGTTTTTACCATGGTTTAACTCATGAAACATGGGCAAAAACCTATGGGTTTGTAGCATTGATTTTTTAGCTTAAACGCCATTGATCTAAATTAAAGTTCTTTGATTTTCTTGGGAACAGTAGAGTGTTGCGAAGACTAAAAGAAAAACATCGAGCTGCCCTGGAAAGCAACTTGTTCACTTCCTCGCTGCTCATGTCTTGTACATATATTGCCATGTTCTGAAGCCACTGATTCGTTCGTTTCTTTACCAACAAAAAAGCCAGCATAGCTAAGATCCAAGCAGTACGGCCTTCAGGGTCTGGATGAA